GGGAAAAGATGCAACCAACGCAGAGAGATGTATAGTTCCCGAATTTTCTGAGAAAAAAACAAGGTAATAAGAGATGGCAATAAGGTAAAATACTCATCAGCGGTACTAGACATTGCAAGGTTGTACAAATGGAGCGCGTTGTTCATCTGTAAAAGTTAAATCACGGCCAATAAAAGTTTCAATATTAGCAATTAATTCCATCCAATAAGCGCTTTGAGGCCGCGTCCAATCATCAGACCACAACATGGCTTATGCCAAACAATGCAAAATTGCTTCAACAATAGCATGTCTGGTATGACGCGAAAGCATGTATATGCGATACGCTTGACCGGAGGAGTTTGGAAAAGCAACATAATGCACCTCGTAAAGGATAAGGATATTTTTTTATTGTTTTCTAAAAAGGATCGAGTCCCGCGGCCTAAAAAAGAGTACCTCTGTTTGGGGGAACTGGGTCAGACCCTGGAAGATAAACGTCTTCAAAGAGGACAGAAAGATCAGGATCTGAATCGGCCTTTGCCTGTTCGGCCGCTTCTTCGACCTCCTGACGAATTGTTTTTTCCGTTTTCGTTAGCTCTGCCTCGGTACTCAAATTTGCATCAAGCAATCTCGATCGCAAAAGAGTGATGGGGTCGTGATCGTCCCTCATTTTCTGGACTTCATCTCTGTTTCGATAGGTCGTCCCGGGATCGCTCACAGAGTGTCCTTGATAACGATACGTCTTCATCTCCAACACAAGGGGCCCCCGTCCGCTCAAGGCCCATGCTTTGGCAAATCTGGTGGCCTCAATGACCCCCAGAACATCCTGAGCATCAACTCGTATTCCTGGAATGAACCCCGCCCTTGAATAGTAGTCGACAGAGGCAGAGGAACGCTCCGCAGATGTTCCCATTCCATACATGTTATTCTCGCACACAAAAATGCACGGGAGAGACCAGAGCATGGACATATTGTATGCTTCGAAGACCTGGAGTAGTTATTGCCACTTCACAGCCTACCTGGCCCTGGTTTGCAGCACCATCGCCATACAATGCAAATGTGACGTTCTGCTCTTTTTTGTACTTTTGAGCAAACGCGATTCCAGCGCCCACAGGAACCTACAGGAAATCTCTCTGCAATACCTGTGCGCCTACAATTCCATTTCCTCCAAAGAAATTCTTTAAATATATGTGCATGGATCCTCCTTTCCCGCGAGCGATTCCGGTTTTCTTACCCAGCAGCTCTGCAAATATGGAATGTAGAGATGCTCCCCTTGCAAAAGCAGCGCCATGGCACCGATACGCGGTGATAACAGTGTCCGTGCTCGTTATGGCAACCTCCATTCCGGCTGGAATCGCTTCCTGCCCAATGGCAAGATGGCAAAATCCACGAATAAATTTTGTCTTGTAAAGGGCGTCTGCCGTCAGCTCCATTCTTCTGATGTACACCATCGTCTTGTAGAGGGAAAGAAGCTCATCTGCAGAATGAAAAACAGTCGACCTGAGAAAAAGATCCGAAGATGTGTCCTTTACAGAGTTGCAGGGGGTCTGGACCAGGCTTCCATCGATGCTGAACACATCAAACGGAGTTCTTATTTCGAATTTGTGTTTTGGGACCGCAGGGTGTGTAGAAAAGAGACGCCTGGAGACTCTTTTAATCAGTTGCATTTTTTAAATGCAATGCTTGCCGTGAACAATGTACACACTTCAAATTTCCAAATTGTGGTGTACATTTTTGATGCACACGCGACACGAATTGCCATTTTTGTTTGTA